CCGAGTCGCGTTCGCAGTCGCACTCGCAATAGCAGTCGCATTCGGTCCGCGGCCTTGGGTAACCGTGGTACATGAGGCGCTTGTGTGCCTAGTCCGGGACTAGTAACTGAGCTGTCGTTGAGCTGTCGCTGCGCTGTCTAAGATCACGGTTCTGAAGTCTGGACACCATCTGAAGTGTGGACACTTTGGTAGCAATGAACACGTCTGATTGGCTGCCATGCTCCAAGATTTTTCGCAACTTGTGTAATGACCAATGATCGGGTGTGATTACACGTCACTGAGGGAAAATTTTGGTTGATGGTGTCCAAGCTTCGCCCAGAACCGTGACCTAAGGAGATTCTTCGTTTTAGTGAATGGAACATCTGGAAATTTGCAGCTCTGGACTGCTACAGTTCTAGTATGCTGCCTTGCTTGGGAAACGACGTCGAAAACGGTGGATTTGGTGATGGAGAATATTGCGCACTTTGGTGGATCCGCGCGCTTAATTATTATCGCCACGCACCTTGACTTTCACCTTTCGCAGCTAATTAACATTCTATTGTTCCAACACAAGCCATGCTAATCATCATGAATGCTGCTGCATTTACTCCTAGTGGCATGCTTAATTTAAATTTCGTTTTCTGCATTCACCAACCCACAGGTTGCATGTTCTGTCCAACAAACCTTTCAGGTTACGGTGGATTTTTATAAGAAAAAAACTACCAAAAAAAGGGCAGAGAAACAATTTACCACTTAGAAGTTAACCAATATAAGGATTTTATTAGCCCTATATACAATAAGTTCTCTTGTTTTAAGCAGGTCCGTAAAGGTTCTATTTTTTACTATTCCACAAAGATTTTGAAAACGCCATACATTTTCATCATATTTAGTAGGCTCACATGTAAAGTGACACATCCATATTCATACAGGCTGCACTGAATCAAATTAGCGTAATTATACGTATTTATTTGACAGTTGCAATCGCAACAAACAGACTATCAATATTTTATATATACATATTGTAGAAACAAATCCACGCAAAATCCAGGGAATTAATTAATCCGCCCAAGTCGCACTTCGTCAAACGTAAGATACGAGTACAAAAATATGCAAAACTTTTATCCGTAACTTGATCCCTAATTTTTCTACCATGCAAACGCGCGAGTATAACAAATTCAGCCGACATAAGGTACGTGTGATAAATAATTCAATATACAAATTCTCTGAATCGTGCAAAATGCCTAGTGGGCTTTGGTACTAGCCGACACCACTATTGTAGAAGTGGCTCATACCATCGGTGCTGTCAACTATGATAATTTGAACAGAGGCGACGTTAATTCAGGTATAGGCTGGATATGATGGTCGGTGGATAGTGGGTTATAACGGGTCATGGTTGATAAGTTGCTACTTCCATATTGCGTAGCAGTACGGAGGGCATATATCGTTGTACCTTCAGCAGATAACAGGGACACACAGGTATCTCGAATGTGAATGTCGTCAGATTCTACCTCCCCCCCTACCATCATCAACCATACAGGTAGCTATGGAACGCTCAAGGTCGCCATCCCACCACCCCCCAACCGTTTGCCAACGGTTTTGTATCGTGCATGATGTAATTGTCAGAATATAATGATTGTCTAGTCTGTAGTGGGGTACTCAATAGTGAGTATAACCCTTTTAGGGCTTGCTATTTGTACCTCCCTCCTTTCTAGTCAAACCCTCCTTTGCCTACTTTTCTCTTGCCTAGCTAGCTAAACAATAGCTATGGCTCCTACCTTTTAACTACTCCTATGACATGCTATCAGAGCGTGTTCGCTCCTGGCCTGTGGGCCCACCTACCTGCTTCCGTTGCTACTCGGTGTGTCGTGCGCCCCGTGGCGTGTCAGAATATTATGCTCTAGCCTGTAGTGGGGTGCTCTATAGCGAGTACAACCCTTCTAGGGTTTGCTATTTGTATCCTCATTCTTGCTAGTGCAACCCTCCTTCTTCTTTTTAAACTCTCACATGCTATCAGAGCAGGTCGATCCCCTTGGATCGATCCTGTGGGTGGGCTCACCACCTCGTTGCTTCCGCTGCAACTTCCACTACTACCTTCTGTGCCGCACGCCCCGTGGCGTGCGGCAGTTTTTCTTCCCGCCGTGCGCCCCGAGGCGCGCGGCGGTTTTCTGCCCGCCGTGCGCCCCGTGGCGCGCGGCGGTTCTCTGCCCGCTGTGCGCCCCGAGGCGCGCGGCAGGCTTCTACCCCGTCACTCGCCGCGTCGCCCTCGGGAGGCGCTGCGACGGGCGACGGGGACCCGCGCGTCGCCCCCCGTCGCCCGTCGTGGCCTGCGCGCGGCCCGTACAGCCGGCGCGCGGCCCGTACGGGCTGCGCCAGGCCTGCGCGCGGCCCGTACGGGCTGCGCCAGACCCGCGCGCGGCCCGTACGGGCTGCCCTAGGCCCGCGCGCGGCCCGTACGGGCTGCGCCAGGCCCGCGCGCGGCCCGTACGGGCTGCGCCAGGCCCGCGCGCGGCTCGGGCCGCCTGCGCGCGGTTCGGGAGGCTGTGCCAGGCCCGTGGGCGGCCCTTTCCTCGCTGCCCCTGCCCTCCCCGCTGTCCCCCGTGCTTCTGCTGGCGCCCCACCCCTCCTACAGCCCGTTCTCCTGAATTAGGGTTTGGGGGTGAGGGGTATGGGGGTGAAACTACTGTGTGCCGTTCCCTGCTCCTCCTCCTCCTCCGTCTCCCTGTGCTGCAGCTGCCGCTGAGGGGGGGTGGACTTGTTGGAGCCGTTGGAGTGGTGCTAAGGGGGGGGTGAAGGGGGAGTGGAGCTAGCGGTGTAGCAGCGGGTGTGTGTCAGGAGGGGTGGTACTGTTTGGGGGAGGTCGAGTGGAGGCAGCAGTCTTGTCGTCAGCAGCAGCAGCAGTCCGGAGGCTACAATCTCCGGTAGTCGCCAGTCGCCCGTGGGTCCGTTGCTCGTCTGCCGCTACTTTTAGCCGCGGGGCCAGTTACCCCAGTAGTCCGGAGCGTTGTTCCGGTAGCCACTGAGCCAGCAGCTCGTCTGTGTGTCTGCAGCGTCAGCAGTCGCCTCCCATCTTCTCTCCCCCACAGTCTCTCCTCCTCCTCACTTGCCCTCTGCGATAGCCTCTAGCTTTGCTCATAATTGTGAACTTTAAACTATTGCTTCTTGAACTTGTGCTCAGAATGTGTGGTGACATTGTGATCCACCCTGAGCTTGTACTGCTGTGCTTGCTCTGCTGATTACACCCCACTTTGGCTATGGGGGTGTGTCAGAATATTATGCTCTAGCCTGTAGTGGGGTGCTCTATAGCGAGTACAACCCTTCTAGGGTTTGCTATTTGTATCCTCATTCCTGCTAGTGCAACCCTCCTTCTTTTTAAACTCTCACATGGCGTGCGACGCAGCGCGCGGCGGTTTACTCTCTGGCGCGCGCCCCGGGGCGCGCGGCCCCTTTTCTTCCTGGCGCGCCGCCCCCACTGTTCCGTCGCGGCGCCCTGGGGAGCCGCGCGCGCCCCCCCGCCCGTCCGTCGCGACGCCCTAGGGTGTCGCGCGCGGCCCCTGCCGTCTTGTCGCGACGCCCTGGCAAGGCGCGCGCGGCCCCTGCCGTCCCGTCGCGGCGCCCTGGCAAGGCGCGCGGCCCCTGCCGTCCCGTCGCGACGCCATGGGGAGCCGCGCGCAACCCCCGCTGCCCCGTCGCGACGCCCAAGGGAGCCGCGCACAGCCCCCGCTGCCCCGTCGCGACGCCCTGGGGAGCCGCGCGCGACCCCCCGCTGCCCCGTCGCGGCGCCCTGGGAAGCCGCGTGCCGTCCCCCGCGCTCCTGCCCCGTGCTGCCCGTGTTAGGGTTTGGGGGTGGCGAGTATTGTCAGATTTATATGACAGAGCTACTGTAGGCTATAGTGGGGTAGCACATATGGGGTACAGTTTTCTAGGGTTTGTATTTGTACCCAACTTTTTCTTAGTCATTCTCATTCCTGTTTTCTTAATTCACTTGGTATAGAGCGGGTTCCTACATGGGACCGTTCCTTTCTAAGGGCCTACCATAACGGATTTTTTTTTTTTTTTTAGCTGCCCGACGCGCATTGCGCCCCTGCCCTAATTTTTTTTTTAGCGGCCCCCCCCCTAGCGGCCCCTACGCGACCCCTACGTGGCCCCTGACGTGGCCCCTACGCGGCCCCTGACGCGGCCCCAACGCGGCCCCTGACGCGGCCCCAACGCGGCCCCT